GACTTATTTCGCTCAACATAATACCCTCCAGTTCCATCCACGTCGTTGCAAATGGCAAGATCTCATTCCTTTTGATGGCTGCATAATATTTCATTGTATATATATACCACATCTTCTTTATCCATTCAGGACATGTTGGCTCTTTCCACAGTTTGGCTATTGTGGACATTGCTGCTATAAACATCGGGGTGCACGTACCCTTTTGGATCCCTACTTTTGTATCTTTGGGGTAAATACCCAGTAGTGCAATTGCTGGATCATATGGTAGCTCTAAATAGATAAAATCTTAAAAAAAAAAAAAAAAGAATACTAGTATATTTCTACTGGCAGTCATATAATGGTTATTCCATATTTATAGCTATTTTGTGTGACAGCTTAAAATCTTCCCAGAATTCCTAGGGTACATGAATTCTATAATTTCTTTTAACTGTATCAAGAGGATGGTATTGGGAGATTTTTGAAAGGATTATCAGAAATTATACATAACTGCTGGTTGTGTCACTATGAGGAGCCACATATAAAGTATCACCAAGGTTACAAAGATCGTATGACTCAAATTACTGCAAAGCATTACCAAATTTGGGTGAGGTTTCTAGAGAAAGAGAGCAGCCTACTAGTCAAACAAGAGCATCTACTGAGAACCCACTGTGTACACATTAATATTAGGTGTTGCTAGGTAAACAGAAACCAAAAAACAGATGAAGGGAAAAAAAAACCGGAAGTAGAGTTGATGCAGCAAGTGGTGGTGACTAAAACTGATAGGATGGGAGAGTAATCATCTTCATTAAGTTTTACTGTTGGAGCGTGCCTAGACCTTTAGAGAGGGAGAAAGATCTCAAAGTGGAAACCTCGTAGGATATAGAATAGGATGCCTGGGTTCTAATATCAATTTAGTCACTTGAGTACAAACTTGAACAAATATTTAGCCTCAGTTTGTTCTCCTGTAACATGGGTATAATGCTGATAAAGACCTTACTTCACGAGGTTGCAGTGAGAAATCAATGAAGCAATGACTTGTACACTGTAAAAGAGTGAACGTATTATTTATTTATATCCGGTGATGTCCCTGGCCAAACCATGTGGCTTATTCTCTATCATATCTTTTCTGCAGCACTTAAGCTCAACAGGACACCTGCTTTTTCCTGCGTGTATCAGCAAGCATCCCCTTCCTGTTCTCTCTCGGAATGGACTATGAACTTTTCAATAGCATGGTTTCTGTTTGCTTTCCATCTGCAAGAAACAAGGATTCGCACACTATGAACATTCAGTAAATTACTTAATAACAGTGTTTTATATAGAGAGAGTGACTTGAACTGGGGAAGGTACTTTCACATGTGTCATTTACCTGCAGCTGTCAGACTCATCTTGCTAGACATGTTTCTGATGTCATGTCACTGTTCAAACGTTGTCAACAGTTTCTCATTTTCTACTGAACGAAGTTTTAAAAAATATTTTTAAAATTGAGATATAGTTGACATATAACATTGATTTAGTTTTAGGTGTACAACATAATGATTAAAGTCTTAAGTCCTATCTAAATTCTAAGGCCTTGCTAAAAAGTGTGATCCCAAACCTGTAGCATTGGCATCACCTGGGAGCTTGTTAGAAATACAGATTCTCCAGCCCCATCGCAGACCTACTGAATCAGTAACAGCATTTTAACAAAATTCCTAGACAATTCATATATCCAGCTTTTACTACATCTTCACTCTCTTGCTAAACTTGAAGTGTCACAAAGTAAGCTTCCCAGATTTTGCAAATAAAAGTAATGGATTCCAATACAATTTGAAAACAATGAACGCTTTTTTAGTATATCTCAATGCTTCATGGGACATGCTTACATGTGAAATATATATCCATTGTTTATCTGAAATTCAAATTATACTGGGCTCTCTGTAACTACTCAATGTTTGTTTAAGGAATAGACAGTGAGCCTCTTGAGAACAGGAGTTTCTCTGGTTTTTACTTATGGCTGTATATTCCCAGGGACTAACGTAGTACCCGGCACACAATAAAGGACCAATAAATATTTCTTAAATGAATGCATGAATATATCAAGAGCAACCTTCCAATTATGGGCTGGGTTGTGTGTACATATTTTAATAAAAACTGAGTATTTTTCTAGTAATTAAAAAAAACAGATTGTTTAAAAATCTTCTATTCGTACACTTTTTCACGTTTTAGCTGGCAGAGTTGAGGGCTTGATGGGAACATAATCAAGGGCTCAGAATGTACTCGTCGCAGACTGGGTCCATATGGTCACTTGTGGAGAAAGAATCCTATACTCAGGATGCAGACAAGCCTGCAGCAGGCGGCGGTAGGTGACTCCTCCCCCCTCCCAAGCCGTCCAGCCTCCCGCGCACGCGCATAGCCGCGTGCCAACCCCACGGGCCGGTTAGAGGGAGGCGGGGCTCCCGGGGCGCGTGCGCGGCGGCCTGGGCTGCGGGCCCCTCCCTTGGCGGGGGCGCGCGGCGCGGAGGACCGCACGGAAAGGGGGAAGTCAGGTGGCCGCTGCCGCCGCCGCCGCCACCGCGGTTTGTCGCCAGAAGGAAAATGGCGGATCTGGAGGAGCAGTTGTCTGATGAGGAGAAGGTAAGAGCTGCGGAGGCGGCGGAGTCCGTCGTGGGGGAGCCAGTAGAACCCCGGCGTATCAGCCCGGAGTATGGCCGCCGGGGAAGGGCATTGGTCTGTGCCCTCGGCTGCCCTTCCTCCTCTTCTCCTCGCTGCGCCCTAGTGCCTGCCCCTGTCAGTCACCCGAGGCCCCGCGCGGGGGCAGGTCTCTGCCAGGCCTGCTCGCTCCGCTCCTTGTAGGGTGTGTGCTCTGAAAATAGGAAGTGGGAGCCGGGCGGCG